GTGTGTAAATAAAAGAAAAATCAATTAACCTCCAGCATCTGCGTTCATCTTCTGAGCTTTTCATATTTCATGAAATGATCAAATGTTGGATCAGATATTCAAACACAAGATTGGACTTGAACGGGCGACTTCAACCTGTGGCTCCTGACTTTTAGCCTCTTTGCACTCGGTCCTTGTCGTAGAAATGTTTTCCTGACACCAGTAGATTTGTTTTTATTAACGTTGAACCCACTTCAAATGTCATGCTAATTATTTCTGGTTGATAACAGCAGAATCTGTCATTGTTCTCTGAACTCAGGGGTGTAATTTTGTCTGTAGGTCAAGACTTCAGGTCAGTTTATGTGATTGTAGTGAGTGTTGAAGGTAGTACTGAATACTACCTTGTTGGAGTTGATTATTATCTGCATGTGGAAAACTGCATTTTGTGTATTTATTTGTACTCCAACAGACTGAACAATACTACATGCTTTTGTACTTTGTATAAATCTGTAGTGTACTGTACTACAGTATTTCAAACATTACACACTACACTGCAGGGGTGTGTAATGACAAGAACACCGAGGCTTATAGATCAAACCAAAAAATAAATAGTTGTGGGCCAGATTTGGGCGGTTTCATGGGCCGGAAGTGACCCCCGCGCCGGTAGTTTGAGACCATTGCCTGGAAAGGGGAAAAATAAATACAGGCTACAGAGAGCAGCTGCAGAGTGGTGAGGAGCGGAGATGAATAAGAGTCATTGAGAATACAGTAGATTTGTCATCACTGTCCTACGCTGAGGAGACGTGTGGGGGGAGTGTGGCGGGAGGGGAGGGGGGTGAGGAGGTTCCCTGGTGTCTCCTGCTCCGTGTCACCAGGTGGTGCTTCAGCTCCTTCGCTGCTCATTTGCCTCCAGTAGCTCGGGGTGTAATAAAGGCTTGTGTAAACAATCAATGGAAACGGAGAAAAAATAAGACGGGGGAGGAGGGGGGAGTTCAGGAGAGAAGGCCGGCTTTGTGAGGTCACAGAGAGAGAGATGCTTATCCCCTCTGGTGGACAATGACATCTGGAGAGCAGGTGTTGCAGCCAGCTGTGGTTCAAAGGGAGTGCATGATCATAGGGCACTGCTCCCTCTTCAGGTCATTTCGGAGCATTGCACGACAAGGATGGGGGTGAGACAGGTCCAGACATGCCCTGGCCAGGACTGTTGTTCAGTGGAAGAATTGAACCCCCAGCAACAAGCAGCTGGCATGCATAGAAAATTCACCTTTAATGTATTTTGGCTCTGGGGGACAATTATGAAGTTATGTCTTTACTGCAAGTGTGGCAACAGAGG